TTGATTGACCACTTTTTCTTAAAGTAGAAAACATAACCTTGTTATACCTGGTTTATAAAGATACCTGAGTATAGAAAATGAAAGGTACCTTTTGGAGTTTATGACCACTAGTAGCGCTTTGGAGTGATGCTTTTGAGTGGTTCGTTGCTTTGTCTGTATTACGCAGGCTATATGTTACAAATTCCTGCCACCATCTGCTTGTTCTTCCGCGCAGTGGCCACAGCGCATAGAAAAAAAGGAAGTTGCCAGCAAAGGCAGTTAAGATGACTGCAAGATGGCATTGTGCGACTTGAATTTTATTTTAATTTAGGCTTTGGTTTTTGGTGGAATGATATATGTTTCGGCCCGATAATTATCGTGCACCCCTAATATCGATGCAATGATTATAAAACAAAACACATTTCTGCCCATACGGTATACAGCGTGGAAACTGACCATATATCATTCTTGTCAGGATGATGAACTGATGACAATGATGAGCCTGTACATTTATCAAGTCTGTCAACAAATTTGGCATGTGTACATTTTACATTTGTCCTATTCTTATCATCATCATCTAGACTACAGTGTGCCTGCACATGTTGAAAATATGACTAAATGTGATAAATAAATCTTTATCACAGAGGTTTCTTTGCTTTAAAACTACAAATTGCTTCTGTTTTACAAGATATTTGTTACACAGCTTTCCCAGAACAGCAGCCAAAAGCAATGCTCCTGCTGAAATCAGCAGAGGATCCTAACTCATTCCAAGTCAATATAATGTCCAGTAGGGCTTTCTAAAATCACCCATTAAACCTCCCCTCTAGAACTGATAGGTGCTGTTAAATCGTTCACAGTGATGCATTTTGTAGATGTAATTATGTTCCTCAAATAAAATAATTTACTCTCCACATTCCGGCCAGCCAATATGTAATTATTGTTGAACCCAGGTCCTATAATGTTTTAATCAGGCAGTGATATTTAACTGCTGGAGTGGTAATTAAAAAATGAGCAAGAATTAAGCACGGCCATATACGAGGAGAAGGATTGGCAGGACTGTCAAATACAGAAAAATGAGTGCACTGGATTCCTCATTTGCAATGTAGATTACTTTTTGGAGCAAAACAATAGGATTATTGAAATCAAAATCTGACCCAATGAATAAAACATGATAAGCTTAGAAAATAATGGCAAGTAGAAAATAGGCCAAACAAATGTTCATGAATTCAGAGCTGAATGTTTATCATTTTAGTGTGCTTTAAAGGGGAAAAATGAGAAAGAAGTGCAAACAGGTTAACTCCGGGGAGCCTTGCATTTTAATGATGCCATGCCTTTCCAGAGTGCTTTCGTGTAACATATAGTTGCTATTATTTCACTCTATCTGGTGGTTTGTTGATTGTGTTTCAGCCGTTTTGATTTTTTCTTTTTCAAAGCAAAAACCAACAACATAGAACAAGGGCACATGGGAGGGAAGAATGCTATTTACAGCACTGCTGTCTCTGGGATCAGCCCCACAGTCCCTGATGCTCAGCGTGAAGTTTGTCACCTAGGCGGTTGTCCAGGTGATGACAAGGCAAGACTCCCTCCCAGAACTCATAGGCTGTCTCTAGGCATCCTTACACAGCTTTTTTCATTCCTCCAGGCCTTTCTTGCTCATTATTACCTCTGTGAAAGTGATAAATTAGTCAGGGGACTCTAGTGATGTGCTCTTATTTGTACTCTCTACAATGATTGAGCTCGAGACCATTTGATATGTGAAGTGAGGTGCTTGAGAAAGACTTTTCGGTGTGAGGAGTATAAGAGGCCATGTAATGGAAACACTTGGCAGCTCATCTTGTAGAGGTTGACGTCAATGTCAAAAGTGAGATCCTGTGACAGACGCGATTAAATATTTAAAACTGTTGATAGTGCAACTGGAGAGTGTTCCTGGACTATTGGGATACAGTCGCTCTAAAGAGGCCTTGTGGACAAGAGCTGTTAATTTTCTCCTGCCACGTCTCACATCTTCACGCCCAGAGACCAAACCCTGTGTACATTCAATTATCCTCTGCAAGTCCACAACACAAATGCAAACTGAAGTTTTGTTTTTCATCCATGTTGTTCCTGATTTCAGGGTGTCACAGCAGAAATTGAGTTATGAATGTATGGCCAGATGGCAGTTAATCATCTGTCTGTATCGCTCTGCAAACATGTCCGCAATGAATTTTCCTCATTAATGACGTTTTTTGGCTATCAAAGTATTAGAGCCATTTTCAATCGAATCAATCAGCTTTGACAGTTTCTGCATTTGAACAAGCTCTTGTGAATTATATCATGTTTTGAACTCAGCATCAGCTTCCCACAGTGAATGCAGGTTTTCCCGTTTATATCTATTGGTGGCTCAAAGAGTATGTTTTAGGATGGTTCTTAGATTTAAATGACATGGGTGGAAATGTGCCGCTGCAGTGGAGTAACATTTCCTCTAGTACTGCATGTAAGCACAATACTGAGGTGGCCTAATTTACTGGAGTATTTCCACGTTATGCTACTATACTTCTACTCAAATATTGTACTTTTTACTTCACAATATTTATTTGAAAGCTTATGATCACAATATAAAGTCAATTTTACCAGCTGTAACTTTAAACTGATGCTTAGACATGAATGCATCAATAATTATAATCCAATAATATAACATTTCCTTATTTTGAAATGACTACTTTGTGTAACTAGTACTTTTAGTTTTGATCCTTTAAGTCGATTTTGATGCGAATAACTAAACGAGTCATTAGCTTAACCCAGTCACAGTGGAGAAAATGCAAACCCTGGCTATCCTTGCTAGCTAGCTATCTTAGCAGCTCTCTGTAGCTGCAGTTCACCTTTGACTCCAAAGAACTTCATGTGATTTGGTGTGCTACCTTTTTAAATCTAAGACTTGTAGATCAATTTATTGTATTGATTTCACTTTTATTTGACAAACTGAGGTCAGGGTAGATTCTGCATTCCCCCTTGTATTCCATAAAGACTGAAAGGTAGAGAGGGTAAAAATCACTCCAAAAAGACATCAGACTATAGAGTTCAATACAGATCTACCTCCTCTTTGATGACTCTTAAGGCAGGGCCACATGCATGAATACAATAAGTTCACGTTTGAGCATGTTTCACCAGGAGCTCAAACATCAATTATCAAAATAAACACCTTTCAACGATTTCTTCTATAAATTAATGCTTTAGTTCTTCACTGTCCCAGAACATATCTAACTATCCCTAACCCTAAGAGTGATGAAGATTTAAAGAATCCTAAAGTATAGTTACTCGGTAAATGCTTTTTAATTACCACATTTCTTTGGGGGCAGGCTCAGTGTTTAATCTGTCATTTTTGGGAGGGAAATGGTCAAATGTAAATATACTATATATATAATATAGAATATTATCTATCAGCAGCTTTAGTAAAAACCTACTGGTATGAGCATTCAAAAACCTAAAAAACTTATTTATTTATAGGTTATTTACATAACCTATTTTTCATGTCAGGAGAAGCATTCTGGTTGCTTTTGAAGTTTATAAATTGACACTTATTTAAATGGATAAGACGGCTTTCGGTAGTGGCATGAATGCAGGACAAGATCTGTTTCATTTTCTTACAGAATCACTTAATTATCATTGTAATCACGCCGCAATGTAATGGAAAGCTAAAGAGTCAATCAGATATCATGAAATGAAAGTAGGAAATTAATTCCTAAATTCTTTCTTTCAAAGCTTTAATTTGGAGAAACTCTGAATCTGTAATAAAAAGTATTTTATTTTCACTTTTTAACAGTGGCTTCCTGATAAATATCACTTGTACTTCTAAAGATTAGTTGGTGCAACTTGCCTTTATATTTAAAAAATAATGTCACGTACCACAGTCATTTTTCCTATCCTCTAAAATTCACTTAGAGCATCCAAAATAATGGAGACATTTCTGTCTTTTTATTCTTTTCTCTGATGCTGATGAAACACATTGTATTCATGATGCATTGTTAAAGCAGATTCAGACACATTGATCAATAATTCAACAGAAAATCTTCAAGAGAGGAAGACAGGAATGAGTCAAAAGTAGAAAACCAGCGTAACTTTTGGTTGAGTTAGTGGAGGCTTTTTAATGGAGTATCGAGGAACGGGAGATAAGCTGGGAGAGGTAATGGAGAAGTCCCCTCGGGAGGGGCCAGCCTGGAAGCCAAACCACCTCCGCAGATTGGATTAATATTGCATGGCCGCTTGTGCAGGGACGCCCCCCACCCAACCCTAGAAGGAACACTGATTGCCTCATTCGCTCTTTCACATCCTTCAGAAGGAAAAGTTATCAAAATACTACAATAGCGAGGCGGTGATGAAAACAAAGCCTGCTTCAACTCTTTAACAAACATCAATGACAAAAAGCTTTCAAATGACTCCTCTGAAAGGGACAATAACAAAGAGCAAGTGACAGGGAGCATTTATGCCTTATTTATCTTGCTCTAATGGCAGCGCATGAAAGATGTTTTTGCTCTTCTGGAGACTTGGTGTGGATAAAGAAGCAAGGTTACAACACTCTCCTTTCAGACTGTATTTGTAAGGTAATATATGTGAATAACGGGTTTAACAAAGTGTGTTCTTTGAGTTCCACCATGTTGTACGGCGAGTAGCAGCAACCCTGTGAGGCCTGCGTGTTTCTGCCTGCACGGAGTCAAAGATGGCTATGTACATATTTCACAGATTAACCGCGCCCCCTCATTTCACGGCCCGAGGTTTAACTTATATCGACGCCTGTTAAAGAGACATCGACCCAGGCTGTTACTCATCACTTGTACAGACATTATTTGCTGCTTTTGATTTAAGTTTGAGGCTTTCGCTTGGATTTTGCTCAATCAAGAATTTTCAGCAAATTTACACTGCACTACGCCGGTGTCACTCAAACAAAGTGTTGCAGGGATCGTCTGCTACAGTGAAATTTGCCAGTCTGGAGATACATACATGTGTGTTGGTGAATCAGTGAATGTAACATTGTAAGTATAGCTCGGAAGCCACAACAGACACAAGGTCATGGTTCAGAGTCATACTGTGTATTTTTCCTCTCTCTGCTTTAAAAGACAGCCCCCCGTGTTCTCACCTCCCCGGTTTATGACCCTCTGTGGCCCGAAGGGATCCTGCAGAGGATGACAAGGAGCGAGCAGCACTTGCCCACCCATTTGTCATGTTTTTCCCAGTGTCTGTGCTGCTGCAACTTTCGCTGAATGAGAGGAGCAGTGAGGACTACTTTACCCTTTCTCCGTCACGCTCAGCACTCAGTTCAGTGCAGTTAAAACACGTGGCGGTGACCGGAGGCAGATTGTGACTTAGGACTGAGCTTGCTCCCGCCACACTGGATGAGTGCTTAATTATCCTGATCAGGGCTGATTTTGTGAAATGAGCACAGTGCATGATAGGACTCTCAACAGCAAGCTAAACAGAGGAGCACATTTGGACAAATGGAAATAGCTTGGTGGAGAGGTAACAGATTTTTACTGTTATGAATTTTGGCAGATGTTATTTGTTTTCAAGTGGCATCATGACACTCAAGGTTTCTCTGAGCGGTGATTGATTATGTTCTCAGTTGTCGATAGCAAGTACAAGAGTAGCTTAGCTCACACTTCCAAAAAATCTGTTTTCATGAAGCTTCTAATATGAGTTTGATAGAGTACCTGTCTGTTGCAGGTAAACAAATCAATAAATATGAGACAATCAATAAGGCACTATGACTCCACTTCAGTGTTAGTGGCTGTGATGACTGACATCTCCTGGTCAGCTCAGGTAACTGCAGCTCCTTACCTTTATCAACCTTCTCATTTTCTTGTCAACTAAAATGAACAGTAGTGGATTTTGAGGTACTTGAGTATTTCCATTTTCTGTTACTTATACTATACTATACTATACTATACCATACTAATACTTCTACTCCTCTGCAATTCAGTGGAAAATATTGTGTTTTTTTTTTGTTATATAACTAAGTGATATGAAAATGTTTTTTTTTTCTTAACAGAAGAAAGAAAATGAATCTCTCAGCTCAACAGATGGACTAAAAGCTTACTGACACATCCCTGAACTTTCCCACAGGAGCTTCTTGCATCACGTTTTTAAGTATCTGTTTTACCCATTAAAATTCAAGTCTATGCATGTTTCTTAAACATGCGTAGATGATGATGATGATGATGACCTTAAAGAATTGTGTAATATTCCCATTCAGCGCAAGATGGGAAAATCCTCCACTGCTGCAATTTACTGAAGCTTTGCTGAGACTCTGAGTGTACACGCTTACAGTAATTCATCAAACACTTATGAAGGGAGGAGCCCATAATAACATGAAAAGAGATTTCTTTCAGGCCAAGATTTTACGTAGCTGATTGCTCAAAGGGGCTAACTTGTGTTTCTTTGTGCATTTAAAAAAAATCATTAAATTAAATGTCTTCTCTTTCTGTCACATAAACAATGTGTAATGCATTAGGAAGAGAATTTACAACCACATTCACAGACTCATAATACTCACCTTAGATCTCTCAAAAAGCATATATATTAAGCTTGAATCTACTTGTGAATGAAGAATTTATCTACACAAAGACAAGTATACAGAAAATATCTGTGGATCTGCCGGAAAGCTTATTAAAGCAACAATCTAATCAGACCCAGGAGACGTCAGCTTTGCTTCTGCAGCTTGCCTATCACCTAGTTTATTAGTGCACAGTTCTGCGACCACATGTTACAGCTGTGTTCCTGCCTCTCCCAGTGGCAAAATAACAAGCAATGTCCCAGTTCACGCTAGATGCATTGCATAAGGCAATTTGTGTATGACAATCGCAGTTTCTTTGGCGCCCAGTAATGCTGCTTGACGGCCAGCCAGCCAGTGTAAAGGCACCACTAAAGGACTATTGCAGGCTTTCCAATTTCAATGGGATGTAGACTTGATTAAGAAAGAAAGGGATTTGCATAATTTGGTACAATGGTGTGCTTTATATATGTAGAAGTTCTGGAATACACAGAGGGGTTCTTAGATAATAATGAGCTTAGCCTAAAGACGTTTTTGAAATCTGAACAGGGATGAATATTGACATTAGCTAATGCTCTGCTGGCCAGGAATACATGAGGTAATAAATGCATTGTTTTCCTGTAGGTATTGATTTGAATAGAGAGACAATTCAATTTAGAGTTCATGGATCAATTGTTAAAGCATTTCAGTATAAAAACAGCTAAATAACAGATGGCTGTGCAATCCTGTTTGGAGAGTTGAAGTAATTTGAGTTTTATGTATTTTAGAAGAAAATTTACAATTGAAAACTAAATGACAAATAAGAGAGTTCTATATGATAACACATTAACACATAAGGGAAAAGTGCAAGCAGGTACAGATAAGGTTCAGGTATAGGTCAAGGGAACAGGGTACATGATGGGTAAAGGGTACAGGGTACAGATGACTGGAAAGCAAGGGAACAAAGCAATCATGACAATCTGGCAACTGACTGGGGAAAAGGGGCTGGTAGAGGGAAAGTGGGAACAAGTGATGGGAATGGTGGGAAAGGGGTTACTGCAGGGCAGGAGGGAGTGGCTGGATGTGATAGTCAGGTGACTGGGATAGGTGGAAAAGTCTGAGGGCATCTCGTGGACAGGTAGAGAATGGCGGCAATGTGGCTAGAGGAATGTCATATTATATACATACATAAATGTATAATCTTGATGAAAGGATGAACCAATAAAGTCAAATTGGAGGAATAAAGAAATTCTACTGCTGGTAAATTAGAGAAAGGAAATAATGGAAATGTAATAGTACCACACAAGTGCAGACCATAAAGATTCATGACAAACAAAATCAATGTAAGCTTGTTCTTTTTTGATAAATGAAGGAAAAAAAACAGCAGTGTCAAATGCTATAGTATATAATAGTAGCCTTAATCGTCATGACCAATGATATTCTGCACAATCACTCCAAAACATGTATCAGAAGGTGTTTGTTTACCTATGTGTCTGTGGTGCAGCCATGTAGGATTTACTCTGAGACAACATAAAAGACCTCTGGAGCTCTTCAACAGACTGTATGAAATTGAAAAATAGATTTGATTCTCTGTTTAAGCAGCAATAAAAGTGACCTATTTTCACTTCATCCTTCACATAAGTCTAAGGTTTTACTCCCCAAATCAGTAATTTATAAGAGACTGCATTTGAATTGTATCTGAAAACAGTGCCAGTTCTTTGTACTCTGAAACAAAATGGGATGCAGACCTTTCCCTTTTCAACTGATTCTATTCAAGAACAGGTTTTTCTAAAAAAGGCCTTTGATTTAATTAAATCTTGCCTTGCATGGGGCACAGCTGTAGGCTCCTCTGCTTTGGGCTGGAAGAGCTTGGGAGTCGCCTGAATCCATCCATCTTCATCCTTGTCAATTATGCCGTTAGCGGGCTGCACATCTTCATTTCCAATGTGGGCACTGTCTCAAAGTACTTCCCAAAGTCACCGTAATCCAATTATATTCTGGCATTCACTATGATACAGCCCATTAGAAAAGGCTTAATCAATGTGAGGTCTTCATTAAAGCAATTTATGAATATTCATCATGACACTCAATTCGATACTTTATGGGAACTTGAATCAGACCATTTCCCCCCATGGCGCCATAACATAACCTGGCTATAGCTTTAATGGTAGCTCTTTAAGTAGAGGGGTAATATTCTGTATTAGTTAGGTAATATGAAGCTCTCTCCACTTAAAACACTATTTAATCCACTGATGATGCTTTACAGCCAGGCCAAACACAAAAGGATTTTTTTTTTTTGTATTAGAGAGGTGTATGTAGAGCTTTTGACTCTTGGATGGTCCCACTTAGGTGTTTCCACATTTATTCTTCCGGGCACTGTGCATAAATAGCTAATTGCTCTGCAACCCTCAAATTGGTTCTCTCAACAGAGAATAACAAACAGCCAATAACTCATTTGGGGCTAAGTATCCATTACAAGTGCTTCCCCCTTTATCTCCAAGGAGACCACACACACACAGACACACACACACAGCAACCTACTATACTGAGTCTCCATTTCAGAAGCTGCAGCTGATTTTCATACCACTGGCATTACTAATGTATTACAAAAATCCCACATATGGCAGGCCACCCTGATAAATGGTGAATTATGAATTGGGTCGTTTCATAGAATGCATTAGATCCAGCAGGATTCGACTAAGTTTATCATCATATTACAGGAATAGTTCAATATTCTGGGAAATAAGCTTATAGCATGCGGAAGTGCTGATATTGAGTCTGGGCCTCTGTTCCACTGGCTTACTCAACTCATTCAGCATTTCTTTCATTGGTGTTTATGAAAAAATTAAATGTGTTCCTAAAATGTACTTTGCACATTTGCATCCATACAGCATTTGCTGTAAGAGGACAACTATATACTCTGTGAGCCTGACAAAATAACTACAGCTCCCATGGAAATTTACCAATGAAATGGAAATATACTATATCCAGAATATTTACCATCTGTCTCTTCTAAAGATTTTTTTCCAACTTTGTAGCTGTAATCTTCTCTGTCTATAAACACAGTCCAGTCTCTCTTTTTTGCTGTTATTATGGACATGTCTCAGTTAATCGCAGCCCCTTGACCCGCCCACGGACTCACCTATTCTGTTGACCCGTGACATTTAACCCCTTCTAGGGCTTTTGGGAAATGGTGGTCGTTAAAGGCTGATAAAAACAGAACTATTGACTTGATTGCTTTTCTAAAAATCCCATCTCTTATCTAGACATAAGAGGAGTGAACATTAACAATGAGTAATGAGTAATTTTATGTCCCATGGTGGATTTTTAGTTTGCTTTCTTTTCAAAAGTTAGAGGAGAAGATCACGCTCATGTCTGTCCGTTGAATGAAGATGGAGGTAAGAGACAATTAGCTTAGCATAAAGAATGGGGTGTAAAATAGATAAAATTATCCAAGGGTAAAGAAGATCCACCCACTAACACATCTAAGGCTCACTGACTAAGACAGTTTATCTTGTTTGTTGTGTCTGTACAAAAGAACAAGGAGCTGTGGTTTTAGTGGGGTTATGTGTGGGACTATTTCTTGGCAGTGACTTCCTGGAGTTCCCGCTTGTTGCCTGGCAGCTTCACTGTGATGAAGTGATGAAGTGCATTGTGCCCGGTCATTTTTTAACTTCAATTTTTTTTTTTTTTTTTAAAAAAAAAAGATGAGGTTCTGGTATGTGGATTTTTTTTTACTCTAGGGAAGAGTCAGGCTAGCTGTTTCCCTCTGTTTCCAGTCTTTATGCTATGCTTAAGCTAAGCAGATCAGTTGCTGGCTGTAGTACAGATATGAGAATGGTATCGATTTAAAAGAAATTATAATAAAATAAAAAAAAGTGTTCTTTCATGCACCACTGTTCAAAGATTCTTTATTCTTGATATGAAAATTGATACAAACAATGTTAAATGATCTGGTGTATGAAAACAAGTTGTAAATTAGGCTGCTTGAAATAGTTTGTGTTCATTGGACAGTGCCCCGAAAATTAATTCCAGCAGCTCTACTGTTTGTCCTATTTGTCTCTTTCTTGCTAATGTACTTTCTGATTGGTAATGTGAAATTGTGGCATGGAACCACTTAGTCTCCTCATTTGCATTTTCAGGCAGATTTTAAATGTCAGACATAATAAGCTCAACTCTGATGGTTTTAAAATATAGCTTATTATGCAAACTATGTTTGCTCCCATCTCAGATCAGAACCATGTTATTGAGACCTACATGCTGTACCCTTCCACCATGCTCACTCCCTGATTAGGATTCATTCATTAAATCTCTGATCATTTACGGCAATTTATTTCACTCATTTCTTATAAAACCCATTAGATTTGATGACAAGGAAATAATTCAAAGGAGCTGAAAATAACTTGCACTAAACTGCACTGATGTGTACATCATTTAAACTGTATAGAGGAAACAATTTTCTATTTATTTTCCCTAAAATTACTTGTTTAAGCAATACTTTGTAAGCTATGAAAACCAGTTGTTTTGTTTCAATTACTCTGTAGAATCTCAATGTTTATCAACCTAATATTATATATATTATATTATATAACATGAACTGACAGCACATATGTGGTTGACACTCTTGTCAGTACAGTCTTATGATCTGTCAAATCCAGCTGAAGAAAGATAATAGTGGGCTCTGCATTGTAATGAGACTAATGCAGTCAGTAGATGCAGTGGTGTTTCAGAAAGCACTGGCTCTCAAAGGCTACATGTGTCACTGATTATATCTCTCTCGTGGTAAAGGGTGAGGGGAATCTCTGAAATTTTATTTTAAAAATGGAATAAATTACTATTATTATTATTATGAATAGTACTATCGGACATTTTAAATGAAAACTTTCATGAATGAATTTCTCCATAACCTTAAAGCCCCTGGTACACCCACACATGGTTTTGCTCATTTTGCATCATTAGACCTTTTCTCTATATGAGCATATACAGGCTGCGTTTGACTCTTTGTCTCACTTTTCTCTCAGTTTTGTTGGACTTGTTAGGGTGAGACAACTTACACTTATTCATTATTTATAATGTAATGTAATTTCCTGCAAATCCCTTCACAACCCGCAACAATAGACCACAATTAATATGGTCTAATCAGCCACAATAATTGAAAACACCTGTGTGGAAGTGCAGCACCTTTAATTAAAGCAGAAAAATGAAGTGATCTTAAAGCAAGTCAGGTCATTCTACAGTTAAATCAGAAAAAAGGAGGATGAGCTCCACCTAGTGGTCATACACCTGCAATACAAGAAAATCGTCTGACTGCACTGATGTTGTAACATCCTAGCCCCTAATTTTATAAAACTGAATATATATTTTAAACATGCTCATATTCTTTTTAGATGGGGGTGATATGTTCAATTCTATCCCAGCATGCACTTTGGTCAAAAAGGGCAGGCATCCTACGCAAAGGCAAAAACATTTAAAAGACAAATACTAAACATTTGCACACAGCCTGACACCTATATGTATGTATATATATATATGGTTTAATGTATGATCTTATTGTCACTGAATTTAACAAAAAAGTGTCTACTTACTGTAAATTTCAGGAGCTTCCAGCTTCAGCTGTAGTTAGTTAGTTAGTTTAGCTTCAGCTTATCATTATTTTAAGGTATTTTTTATACACAACCATTTTTTCACATATATATGATTAAAGAGCTTCTACATTACAGATTTTGTACTTGCAGAAAACTTCCACTAGATGGCAGTACCTTCAAATAAGTTGTGTGTGATTGGTTTCAGTACAAAAAATCTTCCACAAAGTCCACAAAGTAATGCGCGTAGCAAGTTAATGACCTCATGCTTTCATTGTCCATTAATTAAAACAATAATGAAGATATAACATACACACACTAATCACCTCCTTCCCTCTCTTTTATCTCAGAAATCAACACAGCATATTACATGATGTAGACCTACTGTAAATACGCTTGTTTCATGTTATGTCAAATATTAGTTTGTGTGGAAAAAAACAAAGTAATTAATACTGTAATATGTTAAGGGAGCTTTTATGAGATGAATTAGTACTCACATTCACTTAAAATGCAACGGTATGTTTCCCTATTATCAAAACTGCTTTTACTTTAAGAGAAAAGAAAAGGCTCTGACTCATCTCCCACAGAGTGTGAAAGTCTTTACAGTACTTAAGAGCATCCATCATAGTGAAAGGTCAATACAGAATGAAAAGACCCATAACAATATTCAGAGCAAATTTGTCATTTGATGCGCTGGAGGAGACGATATTGAAACTCTGGCTGCACATCATTCATTGATCTGAACAAGCAGCTGTAAAATGTAGTATAATAACATTATTTGAGATAATACTGTGACCGTAGAAGTTCCCCTATGCAGTTTTGCATTTCTGCAGGCAAATCATTATCCCGTATTGATGCAAACGGCACTGATCAATGAACTTCTTCATGCGAGCCTCTGTCTCTCTCCCTCTGTGCACACTTGAACATTCGCACCACTTTTGTCAAAGTGCATTGAGTGATGCTGAAAACAAGCTATTTATGGGAGCATTTGTCTGGGATCCTATATGTGTTCTGCCCGGCGGACTTCAGCCTCAGGCAGCACTGGAGCGTTTCCTTGAGGACAAGCACTACTGTAGTTGGAAGGTCATGTGCAGCACTGAAAATCATTAACAATCTTTTTATTTGCTTTCATACACTGCCTGTATCGATGAGATCAGAAGTGACAAGGACAAGAACTTGTTGTGTTTGAATCTCATTTTGAATTATTTTCACATATGTCGTTTTTGTGCTGGATGGAGGGGGGGTAGGGGGGTAAGTGGGAATTGAATTGCAGATGTCAGTATAGCTATAACCTCTGCAGCAGGAGGGAGGGGGCAGCAGACAAGGTTAAAGCTGTATTTGTTGGTGAAAAATGAAAGGCTGCTATATAAAACAGTGTGTTTATTAACATTTTAGAGCTGGCTGTCCATCAGTTCTTCCGCAGGACCATTGAATCATGTAATTTCTGTCATGGGTGAAAGATGAGAGGCTAGCAAAGCGGGACGGCAGAGCTCACTAGTTTCACAAGCACTCAGGTAAGGACTCTGAAAATACAGCCACTAGTCTCTCCTCGTATGATAAGTGCACAGAAATTGCCTGCTTGAGAGTCTTTCATTTCACATTCATTAGAAAGGTTCTTAAATTAATGATGCATTGTCGAGCACGCTGTGCGATAAGATGCAATAAACAAGCCAAAGATATTTATGGGGCTGAGGTGAGCTTTATCACCTACAGTGGAGTTCATGTCATGTGCACAGGGCTCATATACCCATTACACAGGTATGGTATGTTGTTTGTTATGCTGTTTCCGTACACAATGCATTCCCGTGTTACCCAGCGCACATTTTTATACGATGTATTTATTTATTTCATTTGTGGTTTGGGGGCAGTGAAACAAGATGTAAACACAACTTTGATATATTATCACTTATAAAGCTGTTGGGGTAAGATTTAAGTCAATAGTCATTCTCCTTTGCTCTTTAGCTGCTAAATGCTACATGATATTCACCTTGTTGCTAACTTTATCTGCCAATTGTTGCTGGAGTGGTGGTATTTCTAAAAAACTATCAATCATTAAAGTTATTTTTCCAGCAAAAAAAAGTAAACTGTGCCAATTTGTTGCTTTTCTTTGTCTTACTTTATAGAAAAAAATATATTTTTAGGTTTTGGACAGTTGGTTGAGCAAAACAACTAATCTGATATCATCTTGTAGAAAATCAATTTCATTGACCAAACAATTATTTGACAAATCGACTAACAAAGAAAATAATTGACAGATGAATTGATAATCAAAATAATCCTGCAGCCAGAGTAAAGAGGGTTTATCATAGCTTTTTCTCTTGTTTTGCTGAAAGGAGAAAACATGGTTGACAAAAGCTTTGAGACTGAATTAAAACAGTAAAATGGCTGAAATATGCTAAACTGCTTCTTAGAGCTGAGGGGAATCAGGTGATCAACTCTTTGGATTAGTCACACCAAGCAACTCCTTTCACATTACATATAGACGTTTGATCCATAGTTAACATACAATCATGTGTTTGTGCAGCTTTAAGTAGTTGAGCCCAATAAAAACTGTTCCTTTAACAAGCTGAAATTTCATTTAAAGAATAACTGTTGGTGATATTTCACGGTTTTATAAATAAATTGTGCTACAAACAACCCCCTCAGACATCTCAAGTCTTTTCATTCTTTCATGTTGAAACCACGTCTACTCAAAGGAAATGGAAATGGACTGTAAGGAACCTTTCTCAGTTGAATAGATGGAATCTGAAGTGAACATTATTTTATGTAATACAGACACTAGAAATACGTGGAGTGGTGGTAGAGAAAGCATTGTTATGCAAATCAAAAATAGTCAATATCAAAAGTAGTCAGCACATATGTATCTTATAAAATGAGCTGGGATATGAATAAGAGAGCAGTGTGTGTGTGTGTGTGTGTGTGTGTGTGTGTGGGGGGGGTAAAGTACACAACACTTACAGTACATGACGTGATTTAGACTTTAGAATCAATATGCCTCTCCGTAGCTGTCCCTGATATACACCCGACAAACAAACTTGATTTGCTCATGCCCTAAAATAATAATAATAATACATAATGCATCAGTGCATGCCACATGGATGATGCCAAGTGTACGTCCCACTTCATTAATTCATCCATAATGAGTTTTGCAGCATGTAGGAGCAACTACCTTAGAGGCAGCCCCAAGAGTCAAAGCTAATTAAATCAGAATCTTAAATCCCAATCTACACACATCTGCCTTTGTTTGCAGAGTAAAAAAGCACAAATGAGCTGCACTCACACAAACACACATTATGTCTGACTTTTAGCTGTAGATGTGGACAACTGTGGACGCAATTCTACACCGCATGGAAAGTTGTCAGTCTAAAAGTCCTTTCTTTCTGCACAAACTGACAAAAAAAACCCACAGAGATCCAAACCAGTAGGTGTCTCTGTAGCAC